GCAATAATAACGAAGGGAATCAGGGAGGCAAATTTATGTTTGTGCCGCCACCGGCAGTTCATATGCCAGCGGCAAATTTCATGCCACCGCCATTTTGTAATCCGATTACCTGTTCCATGCAGCATTTAAAAACGATAATTTCTAGTGCTATTAATGAAGTACATAAGTTAAATATAAATAATAATAATATCAATTCTAATCAGGGCCATTTCCAAAATATTTGTACTTTTAAACCAAACGCTGACGTTCCTATTTTTGATGATAAAGGGGATATACACCCTGTAGATTTTTTAAATCAAATAGAAACCATGTATAAATCACAAAATGTTTCTGTAGATCAGTTTTTAGTAGATAGTATAACTAATTTATTCTTTAGAGGAAACGCAAAAATATGGATGAACGCTTTCTTATCAACTTTCACTAATTTTCAAGATTTTAAATATCAATTGTTAGCTCAATATTGGAGTCAATCTCAGCAACTTAAGATTAGACTGAAATTAGATTCGGATATTTACCTTATAAATGGCAGCGCTACATTTACAGAATATTTTAATTCCTATGTAGTTTTGGCTAAACATTTAGAACCTGCCTATCCGCCCCCGCAATTAATTCAAATTATTGCGCGAAGTATTTCTTGTACTTTAATCGGCGCAGTTACATTTCAAGATGCCCTTCAGCTTCAGGCCGAATATTATTTTAGTGCTAGTACGACGGATTCTTTTTCACATTCAACAAGACCGGGAAAAAATTATTTTTATAAACAAAATAATTCTAGACATGGATCACAATCACAACAGATGTCGGGACAAAATCAGACAAAAAACTTATCTAGTATGCAAACTGTGGATAATGTTGAATGTGAGGAAAATTCGGAAAACTAGATTGCTTTCCAGAGACGAGCCCGGCTGTGGAAAACGTTTTAAAAGGGGCTTTTAGTTTTAATAATAACGTTAGAGATGAATTACTTAAAGATGAGTGTAGCTTTAAGCACGAAATTGTTAATTATAGATTGCCGATTATCGAAACGCAATTGTATGGGGTTTTTCCCCGCTTTAATTGACACTGGAAGTGAAATCTCCGTAGTCTCTGAAGGCGTTTGGAACACTTTTTCTGATAAAATTAAAAGTGACATTCCATCTTTTCCGTGTTCTGGCATAAGACTTATGGGGGCGTTTAAATCAAAACAAAGAAAAATACAATTACAAACTTTAATTTGTTTTTCGTGTGAAAATAATATTTTTTACCAGGAATTTGTTGTCATACCTGATCTTGTTTATTCAATTATTTTAGGAATTGATTTTTTACGAAAATACAAAGTACGTATCGATTTAAATATAAATAAAATATTTTGTTCGGTAGGCGATGAAGAAATTGCTTTATCAGAAAAAAATAATTATTCTCACGAATATGATGGTAGTGAATCGTTAAATTTGCGCAGTTTATCAAAATACGAGAGTTTTGTTATAGCAAGTTGTGCAGTCAACTGATATACAGAGTGTCACAACAAATATAAATTTAAATTTTAATGAGAAACATATGTTTAAAGAATTGATTAGCGAATTTGAATCGATTTTTTCAAATATACCGGGTCGTGTAAAAAATTATAATCATCAAATTAAACTTCATAATACCGATCCATTTTTTATTAAGTCATATCCGATACCCGTAGCTTATCGAGAAGCCATCAATAAAACTGTCATGGAAATGGTAAATCTGGGTATAATTGAACGTGCTGCAACTCAGTGGCGTGCATTACATATAGGCAAAAAAGCATTGCCTACCCTTCGATTTATTCAAGACAGACGCAAAATAAAAATATATTTATCTGATCAATTTTCATTATATATCTACCTACAAATCCTACAATGCGACCTACATTGTTTTATTTTTCTAAATAGTAAGTTAGTATTGTGTTTATTACGGTTGCAAAGCCGGAAACATCATACAAAACAAACGCCACCTGTTCAACGTCTTATTATTACCTAAAAAACGCATCCCATTACTCGAAATCGAACGCACGGCCGCAACTTAACTTTACATGGATATGGACAAGCAAAAGCAGTGTGTTACCGCAGCACGGATGCACCCGATGTCTCGATCCCGCCGAAGCGGTATTGCCAGTTCCGATGTTATTACAGAACTATGTAAGAAACAGTCCATGTTATTTTATATATGATCGATTTTAAATAACAGTGTTTTAGAAAGATTTGTATTATGTAGCAAATTATAAATTTGCTTGTCTGTCATCTGTATTTGTTTCCAAATGATTTCATTTATTATTTTATTTGACTGTAAAATCATTTTGGTACATAAAATCTATTAGGCAGTGACAATTGGCAATCTGGCAATATTATGTACGGTTATTGTTTTAGCTAATTCGCCAGTCGTTGAGTCGCCTATCGGGAAGAAATAATGATTGAATAATAGACAGATTATTCGTTTTGCATCTACAAGTAATTAAATTTATTTGCTGTTATTTGAATTTTCTTTTGTTTGAGTTTAAAGTTAAAATACGTTAGACAGTAAATTTTATATACGTACATTGTACATATATATTATGTAATACATACGTTTTTTTAGTTTTTTTTTCATATTTTTGATTCTGTTGCCTACCCTACTGTAAATGGTACTGCACGCCACTGCTGCAACTCCATACATATCACCCGTAAGAGTTGTAATCAAAAAAGATAATTCAGTTAGAATTTGTTTAGATGCGCGCAGACTTAATAAACAGATGGAAAAAGATCACGAGTGTCCGAGGTCAATAGAGGATATTTTTAAGACATGTAAATTGAATTCTTCTTCAGAATTAAAATATTTTTCGCGTTTGGACACTACGGCCGCTTCGTCGATTATACGCATGATCAGTAACATTTTCGGTCCGGAGTTTGACTCATTTTTAACCGGATATATTGATGATATGCTATGCTATCATAATATCTGATTCGTTTGAGCAACATATTAAACATTTAAAAATGGTTTTCAAACGACTCCAGGAATTTGGGTTAACCCTTAATATAAGTAAATGTGATTTTTTTTGTGATCAACTTAATTTTCTGGGATATGTGATAAATAGTAATGGTATTAAACCAAATCCGTCTAGGGTTAAAGCTATTGTAGAATACACGCGACCACACAACGTTAAGCAACTTCAGCGCTTTCTAGGCTTATGCAATTTTGACAGATCCTTTTGTAAATCGTTTTCATCATTTTGTGAGCTTCTAACGAAATTATTGCGAAAAACTGTTCGATGGGAATGGAAAGAGCCACAAGAGAAAGCTTTTGAGAAGATAAAGGATTTATTAATAAATGCAGCAATGCTTTATCATCCGGTTTTGTCAGCCGAATGGCATGTCAACATAGATGCAAGCGAATATGGATTAGGGGCACAACTTTACCAAGTGTTGGATGGTGAATCTCGTACGATAGCTTATGCGAGTCGATTATTGCTTCCAAGAGAAACGCGGTACCATAGCAATGAAAAGGAAGTTCTTGCGTGTGTATTTGCGTTAACTCGATGGCGTGTATATCTATTGGGTCGCCATTTTACGGTGCATACTGATAATAAAGCTTTAACGTATATTAACACTTGTCGACTACTCTCGCCGCGAATCGCGCGTTGGGTCCTAGCCTTACAAGAATTTGATTTTTCTATTGAGCATATTTCGGGAAAAGATAATATTGTAGCAGACGCGCTATCATACTAAGCAATATTTAGGTAATAGGATTAATCAACATAGAAATGATTGCAATACTCGGAACAAATCTAAAAAGGATAAAACTGCTTTGGCCTCACACCACTTTGACACCGGACATGAATTTAACTTTGATGATGTTATGGTTCTCGAGAGAGAACCAAACTGGTACAAACGTAATATAGGCGAAATGATTCATATTAATTTGAACAAAACGGTCAACATGAGGTCTGATACCTAAGGTCTTAGTGTAATATATAACAACGTTTTAAATAAGTACAGAAAAATGAATGAAAAAAGAAAGGTGTAACCATACACGGGGTGCTTTCTGGTGTGAACATTTTGTGTGTCTTTCTTTAAAGCTCTCTTACTTTTTCCGTCGCGAATGTGTGTTTTTTTTCTATACAGAGTTATTGTTATGGCAATATTGCCAGTATTGATATTGCTAAATTCAATTTTTGTGGTTGTTTTGTCTACACCTGTTAATTATTTTTGTTGATACATACATATATACTTATTTTACTTGTGTACTCATGTATTATTTTTATAGTTTTTAATTCGATCTCAACCAAACGCAACTTTTTTTTCTTTTATATGTTTCTTTAATTTCTAATACTTTTTTTATTCTTTTATCTTTTATTTGTTATCAAATAATTTCAAAAAATTATTTAATTTTAATTCCTATCAGGCCCACTTTAATGATTCCATTTGTTTGTTTATGGCGATGCCGACCAGCCTGAACATAAGAAGTTGACTGGGGCTCTTAAGAGCACCAGAAACACGGGGAAAGAAATTAATGATAAAGGAAACAAAAAATCAGTCCTTTTTTGGTACCGAAATAATTCAACTGGTGTCAGTACGACACAAACCGAGCATCGGTGTACGTCGGGCAAAAATACCCTTAAGTTTTTGATCTTTCTTCCGTATGTGGCTTAGTGTTGGCGGTTGGAATCGCCATGAATGTTTTTAGGCAAAATATGGATTAATGTGTTTTGGGTAAGTGGCCAGTTAATTTTATTTTGATATTTTTTAAAAAACTGCTTCTCCTATAGTGCCTGAAGAAGCGACAATAAAGTCGCGAAACGTCGCAAAACATTGTTTCCTTTCGAGCCTTCCCAAACACCCACGATTTTTTTCTTTCTGCGTACTTATTATTACTGGGAATTAACAATAATCATAATGTAATGTAGTATTTTTATCCCCATCTTCCACTCTATTTCACTAATTTTATGTGGTTTGTTAACATCGAAATATATTGTAAACGCGCCTTTTAATCAACTAATTAAAAACAATTTAAACGCCTAATAATAGTAAAAATATCACCAGTTCACCAAAAAGATTCGTCCCCCGCCGAAGCCGATAGATAGCTTCTCCCGCCCGCCAGCTGACTGCTCTCCCACCATCGCCTCCTGCGCCGATCGTTCCAGAGCTTGCAGCGTTTCCGATGCTACTTCGCCGTGCCCGTCGCCACGTTGCCATTTTCCTTCGCCTCGGAAAAATCACTGGTTACATTCGGCCATCCTGAAAAAGATTAATGCCCTCATTAATTTAACTCTCCAATAAATCAATCAGATTTTGGCGATCTACGCCAACGCCAACGCCATCACTGTCATCATGCTCACTTTAATAGCCTCGCCATGCTACTATAATATCGCCTTAAAGAATCAACCGCCACAACAGCCTTAAATGCTTTATAACCCCTTACGCCTTTTACCGCCATTATGACATATCTGTCATTTCCTAACGCCTTCGCCATTTTATACGGACCATCGAACTTGTTAATTATTTTCCGATTTACACCTTTTTCCCCTGATCAAGTTCCAGCCTGTCGCCATAACACCAGATCACCTACCTTATAGGTATCGCTTACCTTGGAGGTGCCGCCTGCAGTTGCAACTTTACGCCTTCGATCGAATACCACCTTCATTTTACGCCCCGCCTTTGTAAGGTTTTCACTTGCTTTCTGTCGCCGTGAAAGAAGTTTTAGACTTTATATCATCATAAGTCTCGCCTTTCGCCAGGGGTGCATTCGCCATTTGCACATCGCCAGACAGACTCGTATTTACACCATCATCGTGTGCAAACATCAGCTGGGTTGGGGAAAACCCACTGCTTTGATTAACGGTGTGATTGAGACCCCAAACAATTTCATTGAGCCCTTCATCCCAATCAACTTCAGATATTGCGCTTGCCTCTATTGCATTTAATAAAGTACGATTCTGCCTTTCAACCTGACCATTCGCCCATGGTGTAGCAATTGCATTCAACACGTGCTTTACACCTCGCCCCGCCAAAAATTCAGCAAACGCCTTGCCTGTAAACGCCAGCCCGCGGTACGCCAAACGCCACACCCTGGATATCCAAACTCGCCTAACACCTCTCTTAATTTGAGAATCGCCTTTGAAGACTGCAATGTCTTCATCGCCTTCGCTAATACTAGTCGCCACGCCTTTTTGCTTCGACAGAATAGGCCTAGGTAGTCAATATGCACAGTAACAAAAGGAATCGCCACCCTTTTGATAGGCTGCAACATACCACTCGCCTAGCCATTCGCCAAAAGCACACCTTTAACACGCCTGGACATATTTCCTAACAAAACGCCCCAGTTTAGTAAACCAATAGGTTTGCTTTAGCAAACCCAAACACCTATCAACGCCTGGATGACCAATGTCATCATGATACTTACGTACCAAGTTAAATTTCGCCATCGCAGAGACATAAACGATCTCCAAGTAACGTTTTCCTATACAACCGCCCATTCGCCATTTTGTACACACGCCTTTTTACGCCTTTATCAGCTGTACCTTCAGTCAACTCATTCACCAACGCCTGCGCCTTGGGATCTTGCATCTGGACCGTCAAAAACCAATCCTCCGCGCTCAAGTTCACCATAAGAACTTCAGCAACAGGATTTCGGCTCAAGGCATCCACATGTTGCATCTTGTGACCCGCCCGATACTTAACTGCCATGTCATATCCTTGTAGAGTCATCTACCATTTTTCAATTCGAGGAAGAAGATCCTTTTTCGCCGTAGTCGCCCTAACAACTGAACCACCTCAGTTACCACCTTTAAATGAACGCCAATATAAACACGATAACGCCTCACAGACTCAACAATCGCCGATGTTTCTAACTCATAACTATGCCAAGACTGTCCAGTCGCCATGGTAGCCCTGCTATAGTAAGACACCGGAATTAAGTCGCCATTCGCCTGCTTCTGCATTAGAATACCAGCCACGCCTAATTTGCTAGCATCCGTATGCAGCTCAGTTTCCGCCTTGCTATCATTCAAACCCAATACTGGTCTACTCGTCAGCACCGCCTTAAGTTTTTCAAAAGTACCTTGTTCAGGATCTCCCCAACGCCATGAAACATCTTTCCTGGTCAAATTTGTCAAGGGTCTTGCAATTATAGCAAAATCCTTCACAACCTTCCTAGAGTAGTTTGCTAAACCTATAGACTGCCTTACGCCATGAACATTAGTAGGAACTGGAAAATTTTCCGCCGCCTGTGCTTTCTGCTTGCCCTACATACTCCAATGAATCCGCCAAAAAGATGCATTTTGCCAGATTCAACTTAAGCCCCGCCTTGGCTACAAGTTGAAGTACCTTTTCCAACAACGCCAAACCTTCCTCAATAGAAGACATCATCCATGTACACCAAAACCAAAATTATTTCGTATACTGCCAAGCATCTTGTTAACCACCTTTTGAGACACCGCCGGGGCATTCACCAACCCAAATGACACCTTCAGGTATCCATAATATCCATCCGGAGTTACAAACGCCGTCTTTGCCACCGAATCGCCATGCACTGGAACCTGAATGCCTTCGATTCATATCGCCTCTCGCGTATAACGCCTGCACCCTGCATAACGCATCTATAACCTTGTATAACGCCTGAACGCCTTAGTCCTGCGCCTTCTCTCGAACTATCACCCGTTCAGGAAAAGACAACCTATAAGACCTATACACCACTGGCTTATCTGTCGTCAACTGTATTCTCATTTCCCCCAGAGTAGTCACGCCTAAATCGTCATCGCCTACAGAAAGACAAACCGCCATCTTCTCTAACAACGCATGCAATTTGTGTACATTATCTTTGCCTATATCGCCTACACGAATAGTATTCCAATCAAGTTTAAATAGTGAATTAAAACTTATTTGGCCTACCTTAACAGTAACTTCGCCTATAAGGGTGCATCTCGCCATGACGCATCCCGTCTTCCAAATCATCTGTTTTTCGCCTACGTTCTTCACATGTAACTTGGAAGATTCACCGCCAGTACCTGTCCGCCTATTGCCAATACGATGTCCTTCTTTTCACACCGTTTGGCAGGTACCCAATACTTTTCGCTTTGTTTTCCGCCATACACCACCACCAATAAGTCTGCTTCTTCACCAGGATCCATGCTTGTGTCTTCCAAGCATAGCACCTTGCGTAACGCCATCGCCTTGTCATCCTCCAGAGTGATCTGTTGCATCATCCTCCAGAGTGATCTCCGCTGCTGGGTCAACCCGAGTGAGCTTCGCCTTGCCATCGGTGACCGTCAGTGTAACGCCTGGGGTAGCTAACGCCGGTTGACCTAAAAGAAGATCAGCGCCAAAAAGATCGCAGTCTGCAATTACCGCCTTAACATCTATTGCGATGCCGTCCACAATGATAGGTAATTTTACCTCGCCTTTCACTGTGAACGTACCGCCGCCAAAATCCTGTAAAACCACAGACGATGGGTCAACTTTAATATCGTCACCAAGAGTATCGAACATTTCGCGCCTTATAATGCTTCGTTCACTCCCAGTGTCGATATATACGCCTTAAGTTTTACATCACCCTGTATAACCGCCAGTTTTTTTTGTGTATGCATTTTCAACAACATCGACTAGACTCACCTGACAGTGCTTCGCCTTTGGAATCGCGCCAGATCCGCCTCCTGACGGTCCTCCACTACGACTAGGGCTGTCAAACCTGTCGTGTCCCGCCTTTCCACACCGCATGCACCTTTCCGCCTTAGGTTTGGGGCAATTGCTGCTTAAGTGGTCCCCCATTATAACACCGGATGCCAGCAGATGTACTTGCCACCAGTGTCGATCTTGCCTCCGGTCTCCTCGCCTTCAATACCACTGCACTGTAGCTAGCTGGGCCGCCACTAACTGCATGACGCCTGTATCTGTCAAAATAAGACAAAACCCAGTATACATATATCGCCAGGGGTTGAGCAAGTAAATGCCAGTGCATTCGCCTGCAGATCGAGAGGTAGTTCGTCAATCAAGCACGAAAGCGCCTTTGTGCCTGACAGCTCGCACCTCTCAATCAACGCCATTTTATCATGATAGTAGTGGGTCATGGTTTCGCCATCCAATTTTCCCCTCGCCATCATATCTTTGATCAACTGATCAAAATCATGCTCTCGAGGAAACGCCTTCCTCAACGCCACCTTCCAGTTCTCCCACGAGAGGTCATAATTCTCCAGCCGGTTATACCAGCCCCTTGCCGCGCCTTGCAATTTCGCCTGGGTGAAATATGCCCTCTCGTAATCGGACCAGCCATGGATGTCGCCCAACTGATCCACCTTACTTAACCACCTCACTACATTACAATCCTGGCTGTCAGGATCAAAGGGTTCAAGGATTTCACCGCCCGCCCTTGTCCTTGATCCCATACACCCAGAACTGCAAGCAGATCCCGCCCTATCGCTGCAAGCAGCTCCTAACGCCTGAGGAACGCTCTCACCTGATCTAACACCTTTTCCTTTGCCCTTGGTACCGCCTGTACCAACAGCCACCTTTTGTTTTGACGCCTTTGCCATTTCGGCCGCCACAATCTGCTGGATGCTAGCTGCTAAACCGCCTTTTAGCAACTTCTGCACCATCGACACAGATTCTTCATCTGAGACCGAATCACTCTCGCCTTCGCTTGATTCCGGCTCATAATCCAGCTCAGGAGTATTCTCCCGGACGCCCGCCATAGGCTAAAAACACAAACAATAACGCCACTTGTTTTATGCTTATTTAACCCTAAAAAAATAAAACTACGCCTTAATTTGTATCACCCAAAAATCACGGTTTTCGCCTTTTGTTCACTCCACAACACAACACGTCGGTTACCCCGCTTCTGAACTGTAAACACGCCTTTTAATCAACTAATTAAAAACAATTTAAACGCCTAATAATAGTAAAAATATCACCAGTTCACCAAAAAAATTCGTCCCCCGCCGACGCCGATAGATAGCTTCTCCCGCCCGCCAGCTGACTGCTCTCCCACCATCGCCTCCTGCGCCGATCGTTCCGGAGCTTGCAGCGTTGCCGATGCTACTTCGCCGTGCCCGTCGCCACGTTGCCATTTTCCTTCGCCTCGGAAAAATCACTGGTTACAATATTAATGTGTTTTTGATTAAGATCATGTGTAATGGTTAAGATCTATATAATATTAATTTCCATCATAAAGAATAAAATAGAAAAAGTTGCGTAAAAATATACATAGTAATAATACTTTATAATTTTTTGAAATACCGAATGAATTTGACTAAATTTGAATAAACCTCTCCTCGTCTATGCTCAAATATATGCTGGTGACGTACTCTCGACCGTCGATCGTGCGACTCCAGTGCGGCTACCATCGACTTTCCAACCGGTCCGGTCGTGTCGTTCGCTGGCGCCGATACCCCTTCAGTGCGCGTACTCCTTAAGAATATGAAGTCCCACTAGTGGTGACGTCACATCGAATTGAATCATAAGCACTTTGTCTTTATCTTTTTGGAGTTATTGGTCCTACACGAAAATGCTTGTCTATATAAATATATGCACGCTACTGACTCAAAGCTACGAATGACTACGACACTGGTTAATTTCTGTTGCTGGAACCCAAAATGGCGGCGCGCACAATTGTATGCGCGTAGCGTTCCCGCCAAAGCGAGTGGGCTTGCCGGTTTTATATGCCGTGCTTTAGGTTTGCACTTAAACTAAATTCTCAAGTTTTTTATTCTACAAGCTACATATGCCCGGAGCACATTAGTGTGTACTGCACGCTTAAATTATAAATGTAATTACACTTAAATTATAAAAACCCACGCACTAAGACTCCCACCTGTTCAAAAAACTGCTTAGATGTACTTGTCTTTCCTCTACTACGTTTTCAATCGATTACTACATAATACTCATCAGCTCCACAAGAAGCCGTGGCGTTTCCATAATAATTTAGTCAAAAATTACGCCACGTCACAGAATGTGAAACGTGTCGCGTATTAGACAAAACTATTCAGACATTGCTGCTCATTCTGTATTAGCGTCCGCCCATCCGATTCGTGTGACGTACGGCGCTGAATAGAAACAGGCAGACAGTTCTGCTAATTCTATGACAGCGTACCTACATACGAAAGGTGTCGCGTATTAAACATAAATATTCAGACATTGCTGTTCATTCTGTAATAACGTCCATCCGTCCGATCCGTGTGACGTACGGCGCTGAACAGAAAGAGACAGACAATTCTGCTAATTCTATAACAGCGTACCTACATACGAAACGTGTCGCTTATTAGACATAACTATTCAGACATTGCTGCTCATTCTGTATCAGCGTCCGTCCGTCCGATCTGTGTGACGTAGGGCGCTGAACAGAAACATGCAGACAGTTCTGCTAATTGTGTAACAACGTAACTGCATACGAAACGTATCGCGTATTAGACATAACTATTCAGACATTGCTGCTCATTTTGTATTAGCGTCCGTCCGTCCGATCCGTGTAACGTACGGCGCTGAACAGAGACAAACAGAGAATTCTGCTAATTCTATAACAGCTATAACGGGAACGTTCACAAGGTTCCGTTACAAATAGGTTCCAGCTAGCCCAGTAAATAATTAAATAAAATATATGCACAGAACAAGAGATATCAAAAGGGAGATGTATTGAAAAAGTGTATTGATTGAAAAGTCTAAAATGTACTGGATTCATTTAATGGATACGACAGAGAATAATACAATTGACTAGTGTTGGGAAAATTCGAATTAAATAATACGACTAATTCGATAGTAAATTAAAACTAACTAATTCGAATTATCTTTTTCGATATAATCGAGATAAAAATTAGTAGTATTTTATATTATATCTGTGGTTAACCGAATTACAAATCAACATAAAACATAACCTCTTATGGACGAATACGAATATTAGTAATTAGTATAGTACTATTAGTAGTATTCTTTCGTTCTGAACGAACTGAAAATTTTCACATAAACTGATTTATAAAGGGAATCGACAAAGAAAGGAACGATCCGATATAGAAAAATCCAGAAATCATTGTTATTTCCTATACCACGTAGGAATAAATCAGTTTTAGTGAAAATTTTCATTTCGTTCAGAACGAAAGAATACTACACTATTATTTGGTTTATTTCCATCTCACCCAAATTTCACCGAACACCTGCCGAACACTAAAATTAATTTTCTTCTTTTATCTAAATAATTATTGATTGCAACTGATAAAATAAAAAGAAATACGAAAAAATACGATACTCGGCACTTTTAAATTTAAAACTTTAAATTATGGTTTAATTTATTAAACGGCTTCGGCACAGTTAATAGAATACATTGAATAAAGAATTTTTTTTTTATTTTTTATTAAGTGATAAAATATAGGTATGGCAATGGTTCAGATTTGTTTAAAATAGCCCCTAGACGAGCACTAGCTGGGACGAATTTATTTTTAGGTTAAATTTATAATACTACTAAATAATTCGAATTATTAATTCGATTGTGAAATATGAATTATTACTAATTATTCGATGGTGAAAATAATTCGATTATTCCCATCACTACAATTGAGCGGTTGACAGAGGCGCAAAATAAAAGGGGGGATACAGTGTTGCCGGTTCGTAAACGTGTAGGCAGGATTAAGAATGAGCATGGTGGGAGCACAAATCGACTCCGATACCGATGATAATTCGAGACTGCGCTCAGTGTTGCCAGATAAACTTCCTCTAACAACCTCTGCATAACTACTTAATAGCATATTGTCAAATAATATCATTAGTTAGAATAGTTTTCGTTTTCTGGTTAGAATTTTTGTATTAAATCTCAATAAAGAAAAATTACATTTTAAAAAAAAATAAACTACTCAAAACAATTATTGCATATTTTCTAAAAAAATATTAATTTGAAAAACAAGACATTTTGAATTCCCTGACTTGGATTGTGGAGGGAAATTCGATAAAACAAGCCTACGCGCAGACCTATAATTTTTAGTCGGCCGACTATTTAGTTGCAAAAGTGCAAACAATACATACTTATGAAGTCGATCGGTCGACTATTTGATTGCACGTGGGCGCGGCTCCATAAGAATATATTGGTTACAAATATGCAACTAAATAGTCGGCCGATTAGAATTACCTGTCAGCGCATAGCCTAAAGCTACGCAATGTAATCAAATATTGGCCCGATTGGCTCCATTAGAACCAAGCTCCATTGCAACCAAGTCCAAAGTCGGCCGACTAAAAATTACATGTCAATGCATACCCTAATTATCCTAAAAAAAACTCACAAGAGAAAGACAGAAAAATGCATGCTTCAGTTAGAAATATGTAATAATTACTTTTATTCAAATATGCGATAATTGTTTTGAGTAGTGTATAATTATTAAAAAATATTTTCTGATGATACTATTAGAAATGCCAAGTTTGGGAACAAAATTAAATGCACACACTAAATTTTGTCTAAAAAATGTTTTCCCAAAATTTACTTCTATGATTTAAATTTTAATTCTTACTAGATTTAGGGAAATTTCTTAGACCGGGCAACTTGACTAATACTTTGACCGTCTCCATGTTAAGAGATTCCTTACTTCTTTCCCCCCACTTGATATGTCATAGCTGATTAGTCTCATCTCCCCACTCGAAGATTTAGAAGCCATTTGGAATTTTTGTCGCCACGTGTCACCCATGAAACTCTTGAGTCATAGGCGTACTAATATTTTATTTCCATTTAGATTTAGTATTACAGCCAATTATAGTTTAAAAGTTTTACTTATGAATTCTGTAAAATTTACGGGGCGTCGTCGATGCGGTTCGTGGATACGATCCGTTAGTTCGTCTGGAAATTTGTCCATTTTGTTCGTTATATTTCTTTTAATGGTTCGCCCAAAAATCGATGTTCTGTCAAATCGCCGCGATACCCAGAATTAC